GATGTGTTGGGTCAGAGTAGAACTGTGTATTGATCCCTTCAGATCCATCACTTTGCAAAAGCAGAGTGACACAAAAAAACAAATAAAAAAACTCCCTCTGTTCTTCCACAGTTTAACTCCTGCCCACTTGAATATTTTGCACCAAAAACATTAAGGTTTACTTACATTCCCTATTCCAGTCCAGAAAAACACTCATCTCCAAATCTGCAACCATTCACTCTTCAGATCCCTCAGCGACGGTGACATCGCTTGTTTTGTTGGAGTTCAACTTGATCTAAAGTCTGCCCAGGTCAAAGGAATACTTTGCTATTTGAGAAAATTAACTTTTATGTAGATCGTGGAGTCGTGGAGCCAGAAGGAAGAATTAAATTCATTAAATGATGTTTGTGTTTCAAACCAGAGACTGAAAACGACTTCTGGCTGCACAGAAACCACTGAGCTCAAACAAAAAAAAGTATTTAACTTCCTTTAGTTTGTTTTAACTGGTTTAATAGTTCACTCAGGTGCCACTTGGTGCAGATTTTATTGTTTATCTTTGACAAGTTAGACTCTTATTTTAAATTTCCTTTCAAAGAAGTCAAGAAGCCGACGTTTAAATGATCAAACGAGAAAAATGTTCATACGCTCCTGCAACGCAGCGTGAACGCTGAGTGCTCGATGATTTTGCCAGTAAGTGTTGAAAGAAGCGAACACTGTGTTGTTCAAGTTAAAACAATCAAAACAAAAGCTGCATTTTTCAAAATAAAAGTCCAAGTTAGTGAAACAGAAGCTAAAAATTAAACAAGTGTGCGCTGAAGATTTAAAAGATTTTTAAGGATTTGAAGAGTTTTCCATTTATTTTAAGGACAAAACAAAAAAAGTAAAACAATTCAAAAGTTTTAATGTTACGAGCATCACGTCAGACCGGTTTAGCCCTGCAGCATGATGCAGCCACCACCGTGCTTCACAGTGGGGACGGTGTGTTCAGGACGGCGTTAGTTTGGTCTGAGCGGAGCAGCAAAGTTATCACTACTTTGTGCAGTTTTTAAACTGTATGATAGATGAATTCATATATATATATTTTTAAAGCAAATAGTTTTTTGTTGTAGGCAGAAATCTATTTTAACATTTCCTGTGAAGAATCGTACATTCCTTTAAGCTGCTGATCTCCTGAGATTTTTGACAGAGGAATCCGAGGAATCCCCAGATGAAAAAAAGGAAGTCAATCCTGGAAAGTTTACATTTAGATCTTTGCTCAGCTGTTGCCAGCTCAGGCTGTTAGCAGCAGCTGTCACGTTTCCCAAACTCTGAGGTCAAAGGTCAGCTGTCGGCCCCCACAGACCAATCCCCTCCTGGTCGGCTGTCAGAAACCAGAAGCCTGGCTGTCACGGATGAGCAGTGTGCACGGGATGCCTTTCCATCTTGCTCTGGTTTTATTGCTCTCTTTCACAGTGGAGATGGTTTCTTTCCTTGGTTAAGCTCCAAACCCTCAGGAGACAATATGGTCACCAAGTCACTGATTGGTCACTCAGCTGAACGAGGTTCCCATGGGGTGGGGTCTCCTTCTGTCACCTCCGTGTTCACACGGCCTCTCTGCACATACATGTGAACAATTCATTCCTTTTTATCTGCTGTCCAAACAAGACAACACATCTGTGTCACTGCACATATTCACAACAATGGCATTTCCTGTCCCCCATGTTTTAGTTGAAAACGGTGTCTTCTGTGAAAGAACTCGGCAGACAGAGCGTTTTGTTTCAGGGCTGACACTGATTCTGCAAATGTCACATTCTCTGTAGCGACTCGCTGACCTCTGAGAAAACTTTACCATTCAGAGGTTTTCACACAAAAACAGCTGTAAGGAGCTAAAGGCCTGGTATTCCTTGAAGAAATGCCAATCGCCTCTTTTCATGACGGATTGAAACTAAAACCGTCTGATTCTGAGAAGGGACAGAGTTGTAGCAACTACAGGGGAATTAAGTTGATGAGTCACACGATGAAGATCTGGGAGAGAGTTGTGGAAGCAAGACTTGGACGAGAGGTTACTATCTGTGAGCAACAGTATGGCTTCATGCCAAGAATGAGCACCACAGATGCCATCTTTGTTTTGAGGATGCTGATGGAGAAGTACAGAGAGGGTCAGAAAGAACTCCATTGTGTCTTTGTGGATTTAGAAAAAGCATCTGACAGGGTGCCGAGGGAGGCGGTGCGGTGTTGCATGAGGAAATCTGGAGTGATAGAGAAGTATGTTAGACTGGTACAGGACATGTAGGAAGACAGCAGGACACATATGAGGACAGCAGGACATTTATGAGGACAGCAGGACATGTATGAGGACAGCAGGACAGTGGTGGGAGTGCATCAAGGATCAGCTCTGAGCCCCTTCTTGTTTGCTCTGGTGACGGACCGACTAACAGATGAGGTCAGGCAGGAATCCCCGTGGACAATGATGTTTGCAGATGACGTGATCTGTGGTGAGAACAGGTGGAAGAGAACTTGGAGAGGTGGAGGTATGCACTTGAAAGAAGAGGAATGAAAGTCAGTCGTAGTAAGTGTAGATGAACAGATGCTGAGATATATTCACCTGATTAAAACGGATTCTTTCATTTTTCTGGACTGTATATAAACGTGCATTGAATTTAATAAAATGTAACGTGAGACGTTATTTATCTTTGACCCATCAAAATGAAGGTGGTCATTTATTTACAGAATCAAAGTTTAACATCAAACATTTACATTAATTTGGCAAAATATGAAAATAACAACATAATTAATCAGCTTTACAGGTAGTGAGAAACAATACGGCGATTGTTTCACTTTTCAGCAGAACAGCAGACATCAAATCACACGGCAGTGATTGAGAACTTTGCTTCAGACATTTCTAAAAATATCTGTCAATGATTTCTACTTGATAGAAGAATTTTTAAAGATGGAAAGATGAAGTTTAGTGGGAGTGAAAGATGGATGAGGGAGAATGTGGTGTGTATGAGTGAAAAGTGTTGACAGGACGACACCCTCCATCCGACCCAGCTTTCCTCGGTACGCTCGGTAGTGGACTAGACTCATTTACCTCTCTGACGATGAATCAGCGGAAGAGGAGCTCCAGTTAACGCTACCTTTCAGCGTCTCCGTAGGATGGCAGAGATATATCCGGAGTGGTGACGGGACTTCGTCAACAACAGTTCACCTCAACGGGTGGACTTCACATGAGTGGGGTTCTTCAGAAGTTCCACTCAGAGGTGTAAGATGTTATAATCCCAAACTCGGAAGAGCCTTATCATGGCTGGACTTCTGTTCTCCCAAACGACTGGAGCTGCAAACTCTCCAGCCCGACTCCAACGGCAACTGCGACCCAACAGCAACTTCACAGAACTGCCACTTCACAGAACTGCCGCTTCACAGAACTGCGATCATCTAAGAGAACTAGGAAGTACCGACATTTTAAAGGGCTCTATTTCCGGTTCATTTGGGAGTCCCTGATTGGTCAATGTCGACCAGACAGCGGTGTGGTTTGTGACGTAAGAGGTTACTAGAAGTCAGAAAACAGCAAGAATGTTATTGGAACAGATTGAAAATGTTCCCCAGACAGGCGAGAGAAATGTTTGGGCGAGTTTGGAGAAACAGGTGCCAACTTCTCTGTTTACGTCTGAGAGGATTTAAAAACAAGACAGTTGTTCCAACACTTGTCTGCTTCGGCTCCGACCTTGGAACAAACGTACACTGCTCATTCAAAGACAGAAATCAGAAAATGCATAATTACTCTGTAACAGACCTTAACATGAATTCTAACTTTGCATAAGCAACTAAAAAATCATTGTTACTGTTTTACAGTTAATAAAATTGATTAGTTCACTGTAACATCTAAAATGTTTGAACTAAAACACTTTGATTATCAAACATTTGTAAAACAGTAATGATAATAGAAAAGAGAGTGTTCTTTCACTTGAATTTTCAAGAAAGAAAGTCTCAGGATGGGTGAACCTGTATTTCTGGATTCAAATCAATGAAATGACAGTTTCTGTCCCACAAGGTTCTTAAGGTCAAGGGTTTTGACCTTAGGTCAAGTTCACTACATAAGACAGAGTCCATGTGTGAATGAGAGGGAGGAGGTGGAACAGTGAGGCTACAAGGAGCAGAGGTCACAAAGGTGCAGGACTTCAAGTACTTGGGGTCCACTGTCCAGGAACATGAGGAGTGTGGTAAAGAGGTGAAGAAGAGAGTCCAGGCAGGATGGAGTGGATGGAAAAAAGTTTCAGGAGTGATTAGTGACCAAAGGGTGTCATCAAAGGTCAAATGAAAAGTTTACAAGACAGTGGTGAGACTAGCTATGTTGTATGGTCTGGAGACAGAGATATGGACAAAAAGACAGGAGACAGAACTGGAAGTGGCAGAAATGAAGATGATGAGGTTCTTCTTAGGAGAGACAAGGGTGGATAAGATTAAGAATGAGATCATCAGAGGTACAGCACAGGTTGAACAACTGGGAGGTAAAGTTAGGGAGGCCAGACTGAGATGGTGTGGACATGTCCAGAGGAGGGACAGTGGTTTAGACATGTCCAGAGGAGGGACAGTGGTTTGGACATGTCTAGAGGAGGGACAGTGGGTATATTTGTAGAAGGATGTTAGAAATGCAGCTGCCAGGAAAAAGACAACGAGGAAGTATATGGATGCAGTTAGAGAGGACATGGAGGTAGTTGGAGTGAGGACAGAGGACACAGGACAGAGTGAGGTGGAGGAGGAGGACTCGCTGTGGAGACCCTGAAGAGGGAACATCCAAAGAATAAGAAAAAGATCAGTAAAAGACACAGTTTGAGCCTTTTTCATGTTGGCTCAGGTTTATTAGGGTTAGTGGCATTCTGGAGTTGAGATGACCCCAAAAGTTTCAAATGATTTCCTTATTGTAAGTTATAAGTTTATACTGGGACATATCTCCCTACGTAACAGTTCTTGTAATGCCTGACTCCCACCTTTTCAGTCGGAGCTGTACTCTGTCTCTAATGTGTCGTGTTGTTTCCACACAGGGTCAACTGTCCCAGGCTTTGAACGGCCTGTCAGACCGAGCCACTGAAGCCAAGGAGTTCCTGGTCCAGCTGAGAAACATTGTGCAGCACATCCAGGTATTTTATTTTTAAATCATATTTGTTTTCTTGTTGTGTTTACAGTTTGAACCATAAAACATACAACGTAAACAGACTTTGGTTCTGGGTTGACACATCCAACATGAAGAAGTTCTGATTAATCAGGATGTATGATCCACATTTATCCACAGGTGGATAAATGTAGAGTAATTCAAATGTTTCATCTAAACATCGGAACAAGTGAAAAGTCTAAATTGTCCCTTATTTATCTTCATTATACCTCATTATCAGCCACTGTCAAAGTTGTGTATGTGCATTTGTCTGTTATCAAAATATATATGGAACCAGTGAACGGATTTCAACGAAACTCTCCGAGTGATTATTAGATGTACATCTACAACAGATAACCTTATTGGTTCAACTTCATTCAAGATGGCCACCACGGCTGTGCAACCTTAGCAAACATGAAAATGGCTATAGTACGGCCAATTTTACAGATGGTAGGCTAAACTGTGTTGTCAGTAGCTGAGTATTATTATCTCCAACATTTACTCCAAAAGCAACAATGTGTGCTATGGTTTAATTTGAAACTTGGGGAATAGCTGTTGGTGTCAGCCTTGTCTGTTTTTTAGCAAAATATCTTGTGAACTACTGGACAGATTTTAGTGAAGAGGAGAAGTACAGAGATGGTCAGAAAGAACTCCATTGTGTCTTTGTGGATTTGGAACAGTGAAGCTACAAGGAGCAGAGGTCACAAAGGTGCAGGACTTCAAGGATTTGGGGTCCACTGTCCAGGAAAATGGGCACTGTGGTATAGAGGTGAAAAAGAGAGTCCAGGTAGGATGGAGTGGATGGAGAAAAGTTTCAGGAGGGTTTTGCGATGAAAAGGGTGTTGTATGGTCTGGAGACAGAGACATGGACAAAAATACAGGAGAAAGAAATGGAAGTGGCAGAAATGAAGATGATGAGGTTCTCCTTAGGAGTGACAAGGCTGGCAGGAATGAGATCATCAGAGGTACAGCACAGGTTGAACAACGGTAATAAAGTTAGAGAGGCCAGACTGAGATGGTTTGGACATGTCCAGAGGAGGGACAGTGGTTTGGAAATGTCCAAAGGAGGGACAGTGGGTATATTGGTAGAAGGATGTTAGATATGCAGCTGCCAGGATAAAGACAAAGAGGAGATGTATGGATGCAGTTAGAGAGGACATGGAGGTAGTTGGAGTGAAGACAGAGTGAGATGGAGGAGGATGACTCGCTGTGAAGACCCCTGAAGAGGAAACTGCTGAAAAAGAAGATCAAGATCTGCCCTGTGACTCTACAGCCTCTCTGTGGGTTTGTTCCTCTCTCAGGAAAACGGTGTGGAGTTCGAGGCCTGTTTGGTGGCGCAGTGCGACGCCCTCATCGACGCCTTGAACCGACGCAAAGCTCAGCTGCTGGTCCAGGTCACCAAGGAGCACGAACACAAGCTGAAGGTGAGTGATCACATCCAAAACTTTTTTCTGTTAACCCTGTGAGGGGTTTACTTTGAAGCAAGGTCCATAAGTCAGGACTTCTCCATTATCCAGACCTAACCTCGCCTAAAACTAGACAGTAGTACAGGTGGTTCTGATGGTACTTTGTTGTCCCTGTTGTGTAGCAAAAAGGGGAATTGGAACCATCATCTGTCTGTCCGTCCATCTTTGCATGTTATGAGCATGAGAACTTGAAATATAAGTGAGGTACACACGTTAGTGTGTGGCTACATCTAAATGTAAGAAAGGTTACTTTCAAAAACTGGGTCACCGTGTCAAAATCCAAGATGGCCACCATCATATACTGTATATGTAAACCAACCACCCCTATCATTTGAAACTATGCTTTCTAGTATTTTTATTGCATTAAGGTATAATTTTCTCAAATAATTGTGTGTGTGTGTGTGGGGTTGATGGCTACCACTGGCCAGCCCCTGGCTCCACCGTTGCACCTGGTTGTGGATAAAATTGCTCCCTCCACTCGTCAAGTTCCGTCACTCTACGATGCCTCAGAAAAGCAGAAAAACCTCCATCTGTTCTTCTACAAAGTGTAACTCCTGCCCACTTGAATATTGTGCACCAAAACATTTAGGTTTACTTACATTCCATACTCAGTTTCAGTCCAGAAAAACACTCATCTCCAAAACCGTCACTGTTCAAATCCCTCAGCGACGGGGACATTGGCGTACCGCTTGTTTTCATCTGGGAGATCTCTAAGAACTAAATCAGTGAACAAGCTGAGCTTTTTCCTGACAGTGACTGAAGCATTTAGCTCATATTCTGCTTGTTAGCATGAGCTAAGCTTATTGTTACCGTGGTGATTCAGCCACTAAGAGATTGTTTTGTGGCGCTGGACTGAACGCTGCTCTCCGCAGAGCGTACGACGACACGGACAGTTTTTACTGTTGCTGGTTTGTAGTTGGATTTAAACCGTTTGCAGCATAAGTGGGAAAAAATGAAGGTTTCGTCTGTAACTGATGCATGAGGCGTCTCTGCAAATTAGGTTTCAAGTTCCAGCGAGAAAAGCAGGAATTGCTGCCCCCCCAACCTGATTGTACTGACAGTAACTGAAGCCATTTGGTGCCTTCAGGGAAGCAAATCTGTCAGTTTTGGCAACTTGTTTGTAGCTTAACTGGGCTAAAAGAATCATAACGGAATCCTGTCTATGTTGCTTTGAGTACGTTGCACAAACCAAAACATTTTTAACTTTAGTTTACAACGACCCTGACTGGACACACAGTCCTGACAACTCCGACTCGGTTCTGTTGATCGTTGTCTGCCATTAAGGAGTCAACTGGAGGAGTTCAAGTATCTCTGGGCTTTGTTTAGGAGTGAGGGAAGAATGGAGCGTGAGAATGACAGATGGATTGGTGCAGCGTCTGCAGTATTGTGGACTCTGTGCCGGTCTGTTGTGGTGAAGAAGGAGCTGAGCTGTAAGGCAAAGTTCTCGGTTTGCTGATCAGTCTACGTTCCTCCCCTCACCTCTGGTCATGAACTCTGGGTAGAGACTGAAAGAATGAAATTGTGGATACAGGAGGTTGAAATGAGTTTCCTCTGCAGGGTAGCTGGATTCTCCCTTAGGGTGAGAAGTTCAGTTATCAGGAGAGACTTGGAGTAGAACCGCTGCTCCTCCACATCCAGAGGAGCTAGTTGAGGTGGTTCAGGCATCTGGTAAGGATGCTCCCTGGGCGCCTCCCTAGGGAGGTGCTTCGGGCATGTCTGACTGCGAGGAGACCCCGGGGAAGACCCAGGATACGCTTGAGAGACCACGTCTCTCGGTTGTCCTGGGAACTCCTTGGAGTCCTCCCAGAAAAGAGAAGAAGGAAGAGGCTGTGGAAAGAGATGTCTGGACCTCCCTGCTCAAGATGCTGCCCCCGAGACCTGACTTCAGAACAAGAGGAAGATGATGGATGGATGAAGGAGTTAATGTAAATACAGAGTACCACACGTCTTACAGGAGAATAATAACATATTCAGTTTGATCAAAACAGCTTTAGTGTTGCCATTTTATATGATGTCACTTTAAAGAAAGAAAGATGGCGGGCAACAAGCATTCCTTTGTGGAACAATAAGCCTTTTGTTTTAGATGCGCTTGTTGGTTTTATTTTTCTCTGGAGCAAAACGTTCATCAGGATCTGTAAGTGGGAGGAGAGCATCTAGTCTCATGCTGGACGCTGCAGGTTTCACACGTGTAGGTGGGCAGAGGAACACGCACACGTTTCCTCCTTCAGCAGGATTTTCTATTTTCTGACACACCAAGAAATGAGAATATTTGCTCTAAATCGCTTTCACTTGTAGCAGGTTCCATTTCAACGTTAAACAGAGGAGGTATTGTCATTATGGCTCACAGCCAAAACTGAAGGCCACGTTTCTGTCTGTGTTGCCAGATAGAGTCGAGGTTTTCCAGCCCAAAACTCTGTTAAAAACTGCCACGTCACACAAAAATCCACACAGTCAATATATTGTTACAGTACATTTACTGTTTGAACATGAGCGCACATCAGTACAAGCCAAGGTAATTTAACAATGTGTGTCAAAACGCAACAATCCAACAAAAATCTTCCCAGAGCTCCCAGCAAAATCAGAATGAAAACCACCCACTTGGCAGTAAACCGCCCAGTCTGGCAACACTGGTTTCTGTCTGTGTTCACTGAATAGATTTTATGTATTTTTCAAGAAGCAAAGATTTAAGATGGCTGCCACAGCCAACTGGATTAAAAACCAGCGTCTCCAAACTCACCACCACTAATCTAAAAAAGTTAAATCTGGTCCTCTGGACATAATGACCCGAGGACCAGATTAAATTTTTTAGATTTTTCTACCTGGATTATTGAGCATGCATCAGAATAACCACCACTAACCACAAATTTTACAAGTTGAGTAGCATTTCCTTTGAAAATAGCTTTTATAAATATTGTTTAGTGTCTATTTTGTAGCTTTTTCAGTCTTCTCCTTTCTGCACGTCAAGGTCGTGTCGTATGAAAACAGTCATGTCTAATAATTTTGTCAGGAAAATTAAACTCCATCTCCTCTGGAAACGAGTATTTTTGCCCCCCCCCCCCCCATCGCAGGGCAAAGAGGGGGAATTGGAAATATCTGTCCATCCGTCCGTGTCCGACCGCATGTTGTGAGAATGAGAACTAGAAATAAAAGCTACGTACCAACTTCCAGTTTACTGTGTGGCTGAATTTAGGGGTAAGAAAGATTCATTTCAGAAACTGGGCTGAAACGTCAAAATCCAAGATGGCTACCACCATAAATGTCTATCTGTGTTGTGAGATGGATCATTTGAAAAATATACAACATGCCGACTTCCATTTTGGTGTGTGGCTGCATCCAGGTGTAAGGAAGGTCAACTGGGTCGCCACATCAAAATCCAAGATGGCCACCACCATATATCCATGTAAACCCAGAAACGCTGGGAGGAGGTGGGAGGCGAACGTGCATCCTCCCTACTGTGAGGCGACAGCTCTAACCACTGCACCCCCTGCCCCTACCTCGAGCTGCCCTCAGTTCTAAATGTTTCTCCTAAATTTCTGGTTAAATGTAAAATCACTGCTTGTTGTTTCAAACAGACTTAGCTTTTAGCTACTGTTTTAGCTGATGTTGACTTTTATTTACTGGCTTTTAAGTTTTCAGCACTTTTGTAAAACTGCAGTTTCTCCTATGAATGTTATCAATAATATTTTATTTTAAACTACTTCTAGTTTTTATATTATTAATTATTAACCTCCATCTGTTAATGACCTCTTCACTAATGAGTCCCCCCCCCCTCCAAAGTTCGGCGGGGGCGGGGGGCAGCAGATAAGTGGATGACCGTCTGTGTCTGGTTTATCTGAAGCAGCCACCAGCAGGTCGGATGATTTTCCTCTTTTGTCCTCGGCGCCTCTCAGATGGCGGCGGTGAAGTTTCTGTTGCCTAGCAACCCTCAGTCCAGTCGGTTTGGTTTTCCTGCGAGGAGACGGTGGATATCCACCGGCGTGGAAACATTCAGGCGCATCTGGTTTGATCAGGACAAGAACTAACGAAACATTTTACATTGATTTTAATTAAAATTGAATCATAATGTGCAGAAAGACCTGTGTTTTTCAGAGGACACGTCTTCTCAGAGACAGTTTCAGGTGGTCCTCTGTCCTCCTGGTCCTCGGCGGAGCCGCCGATGACTGTTCACCCGGCTGGAGTGTGAAAATAAAATGTCGCTTTGCTTCCGTTAGCGTCAGCGACAGATCTGCTGCTGATGTCCCTTCAGCCTCCTCGGCCCCCTCAGGCTGCAGAAAAACATTTCTGTGGAATTCTCTGATCTTGTTCTTCGTGTTCCTCCTCGTTGCTTCGTTCAGCTCCTCCTCGAGAACGTCTCAAAATGAATCCCTCCCGTTCTGCAGATTTACTCCTCAGCCCTTCAGCTCCACTCCTGCGTGTCTTCTTCAGTATTTACGAACTTCTGGGGAACAATCAGCCGTGCGTTCAGTTTTACTATAAAATATCTGCTCCACATGCATGCAGGCTGCGGCATGGATGGGACGTCATTAGCGGGTGCACCGTGCTCCCGCAGGTCAGTAAAAGCAAAACAGAAACCCAAAACTAGTGATCTACCACAGATAGTTATAATAAAATAATAAATAACTTTAAATATATTAAAAAAGCTTTAAAAAGCAGAGAGACCAGTTCGACAGAAAACGAGGCTGATGGATCTGAAGGGTCTGCTGGGCTGGAGGGTTTTCACCAAAACTGGTCTGGACTGGAATTTTTTAAAATAAATTGTCAAAAACTGTTTTTGGGCGTGCTTATCATAATGCTGGGCAGCACGGTGGCGCAACCGGTAGAGCTGCTGCCTCTCAGTGAACAGGTCCCTGGTTCAAACCCCGGTCCAGGGGCCTTTCTGGGAGGAGTTTGCATGTTCTCTCCGTGCATGCGTGGGTTTTCTCCAGGTGCTCCAGTTTCCTCCCACAGACCAATAGGCTGATTGGTAACTCTAAATTGTCCCTGAGCGAGAGAGCGAGAGAGAGCGAGAGAGAGAGAGCGAGAGAGAGAGAGCGAGAGAGAGAGAG